AAATTTGAACTCAGGTTCTCTTGACTCCAGGGCTGGTGATCTATCCACTGCACCACTTCAATGCCACTTGTATTCTAAGTGCTTACTAAATACTACTTGATAACAACCCCGGAAAATGCAAAGCACTAAGGGTAGCCCATGTTTTCTATCATCCCATTAAAGGGAAGCAACCTAACAGTGGGGAACAGCTCTGACTTGGAAGTCTGAAGGCCCTGGCCCAAGCTTTTTTGACTTTGGACAAATGACTTGAGCTCCTGGATCCTCAGTCAGTGGACAAGCATTTATTAACTTTTTTCTCTCAGTTTACTTCTCTGTCCAATGGGGTTGATGATAAAAAGAATTCAGTTCAACAAGCATTTATTAAGGGCCTACCCTGTGCCAGACACTGCTTAACTCTGGGGTTACAAAGACTAACAATTAAAACAGCTCTTGCCTTCGAGGGTCTCACAGAACCTCATAAACTATAAAGATTTATCTAGATGACTTATTATTTGTTGACCAAATTTTTTTTTTTACCTAGTGCAGACCTTCTCTATTCACCAGTAGTGGATAAAGAGCTAATCTTGAAACTAGGATGACCTTGTTTCATGTCCCACCTCTCACACACAGTGGCTGTGAGACCCTGGGTAAGTTCTGTACCCTCTCAGTGCTTGAGACCGGTGGTCAAACTCAGAATCAGGAACCATACATAAGGGTCCCTGTGGCCATACATGGACTTAGAAATCCACACAATCATGACATCCATGTTTTATTGGATTTTTATTTTTGTTAAATGACATTTTACATGACATTTTAAATGACAACAACATTTTAACCTGGTTCTGGCAAGCACTGGGGAGTATTTGTGGGCTGATTTGATACCCTTGCTTTAGGAAACCCTCCAAGACCCTAGGTTACAAGAAGATTGCTGGTCTGCATTGGTAGATAGATTACTCACTTGGGAGTTCTCACTACGTATAAAATCACAGGATCAGTCTTTATCCATGCAGAGCTACTTTTAAAAAAAGCTGGAAAGCGCTGCTTGAAAGCAAATGCCTTTGTTGTTGTTTAAGGATTAAGAAAAGCAAATGTTTACGTGTTTGGCTTAGAAGAAGGATGTTTATAAACGAGCCAAACTCACACATTTTCATGGTTCACACAAATGTATAGGGACCTCAGGACACTAGAATTATTTCTCTCATAATAGTTTCAAAAGAAGTTTATGTTTTTCAGTTTTGTGATTTTATTCATTTTCTTTCTTTCTTTCTTTCTTTCTTTCTTTCTTTTTTTCTTTCTTTCTTTCTTTCTTTCTTCTTCTTCTTCTTCTTCTTCTTCTTCTTCTTCTTCTTCTTCTTCTTTTCTTCTTCTTCTTCTTCTTCTTCTTCTTCTTCTTCTTCTTCTTCTTCTTCTTCTTCTTCTTCTTCTTCTTTCTCTCTCTCTCACCCTCCCTCCCTCCAAAGACAGTAACTAAACTTTTCATGTGCCTGCTTGTCCGGATCTCATCCCTCAGGTCTTATTACTGCTTTTTAATGAGCCTAGCTTTTAGGTCTCTTACTCTTTAAAAGAGAGAGAGAGAGAGAGAGAGAGAGAGAGAGAGAGAGAGAGAGAGAGAGAGAGAGAGAGAGAGAGAGAGAGAGAGACTGGGTAAAGCTTGCGGTTAATGAACTGTCAAATCTATTCAGGCTTTTGAAGTTCAGAAACCAGTAATGTTAGGGAAGTGTGATCATGGGCTTTTGCATTTGATAAGTAATTATATTACTGCCAAACCTGTTATAGTCACTAGGAAAAACCCTAAGCAACCTTCCTGTTGAAGCAAGCTAATTCTGCAGCCCCTGACACATGAAAGATTTGCTAATTAATTAATGGCCCTTGGGAATGTTCAGGGACAAGGATGTTGTTTCCTGCTTTGCTACTGAGAGATTGACTTTGCTACAAACCCTTACTCTCTGTTTAATCCTCCCTCAGGATGGACAATGGGATGGCCTTGGCCATCCCTTGCCCACAACTACTTGAATCCTTCTCCCCACCTTTTAAAGTAGTTTGGATGTGGGGAGCAAATGTAAAAGTCCCTGTGGGGTGAAATTGTGCTATGGTTCTACCCATACCATACCAAACATACCCATTCTCTGAGATCTCTGCTAGATGAGCCTTATCTTACCAGGCTTCCAGGTCACCTCCACACCATGCTGTTGGCAAGTTATCTCTTTCTCCTTATGGGTTATTTTACCCATGAGAATTAAGCTCTTTGAGGACAAGGACTGTCTTGCTTACTTGTATTTGTACAGACAGCTGTCAGCACAGTGCCTTGTACATAACAAACACTTAATAAATGGGACATCTACCTGTCTAGGCAATTAAGGGTTCATTGCATAGAAAGCTGGGCTTAGAATCAGGAAGACCTCAGTTTGCAATCTTGCTTCAGACACTGACTAGCTGTGTGACCCTGGGCAAGTCACATAACCTCTGTCTGCCTCACTTTCCTCATGTGGAAAATGGGGATAATAATAGCCCTTACCTCACATAGATATTGTAAGGATCAAATGAGATTAACAAATGTGAAGTGCTTTGCACAATTTGGATGCTCATTATCAAGTGTTACTGTTATCTGCCTGTCTAACCATCTTTCAAGGTCTAGTTCACATCCTGCAACAAGGCTCTAACAATCCATATCTATCCATCTATCTCTATCTATCTATCCATCCATCTATCTGTCTATCTCTCTGTCTAGCTATATCTATCCATCTATCTTTCTCTCTATCCATCTATCTCTATCTTTCTTTCTATCTCTATCCATCTAGCTATATCTATCCATCTATCTTTCTCTCTATCCATCTATCTCTATCTATCCACCCATCTATCTCTATCTTTCTATCTCTATCCATCTGTCTATTTATCTATCCATCTATCTCTAGCTTTCTATCTCTCTATCACCTATCTACATCTATCTCTATCTCTAGCTTTTTATCTCTATACCTGTCCCTCTCTCTATCTATCATCTCTCTATATCTCTCTATCTTTCAAGGTCTAAGCTCATGTCAGCACAGTGCCAGGCATATAATAAGAGCTTAATAAACGCTTGTTGATTGATCGACATTGCACCTCCTCCTCGAAGCTTTCCAAAACTACTCTAGTAGGTGTCTTCTCTATCTAACCATAAATCATGGACTAAAGGCCAGTCTTTTTGTTTTGTTTTGTTTTTTTCCATCTTCAATAAATATTTTTTGGAGGATTAGACACTGGTCCAAACAGCCCAGTCCTGGAACCTGGAAGAAATCCGACTGCAGGACAAACATATTACGGAAGCCCAGAATAGGAACTCGTTTGGGGCTGCTGGCTGGTTGATCGATCTCCAGGGCCTGTCACTAGGACTTTAGAAGGAAAGGTGACCGAAGGACGCTCTAAATCTGTCTTCAAGGATATAGGTGAGTGGGAGCTTGAAAAGGAGCAAACCATTATCAGACTGTACCAAGTCTCCAACGCCAGCCTGCCTGGGGTGGGGTGGGGGAGTTAGAAATTCCCCTAGGGCTCCCTGCCTTCAACTTCAAGAAACTTGGCTTCAGACTCAGTTTCATTCTCTCTAGCTGCTCGCCGGAGCACCTAGGGCTTGAAAGGACTTTATTTTGGCTAAAGGCTCCCTTTTCAAACCTTTCTGGCTTTAGAGCAGGCAAACCGAGCAGTGGTAGAGGCACCAGCGCCAGCAGCCGGGGGAGCTAATAGGAATGACAAAGAGGAGAAAAGCCACTGCCGGGGTTTTCCTACCCGCGAGCTAAGGGAGGTGAGGGTGGGAGGGAATTGCCTCTGACTCCACCCTCTCCTGCTCCGCTCCCTCTCCAAGCAGCTCGAGTGAGGGGCGGGATTAGGGACTGGAGAGCCAGGGCCCCGCCCCCAGAGGCTCAGGGCTTCTGCCCCAAGCTCCAGCGTGAGGGGGGAGGGGCAGCTGGAGGTTTTGGAAACCGGGAGAAGGAGAAGGAGGCGGAGGACCAGGAGCTGTGTGAGTAGCAGCTGCACGAGGGAGGGAAGGCGGAGGCCTTGTTCATGGTCCTTGGGGCTTCCCGGGGAGTGGGGCTGGCGTCCCGACTTTAGGCACTGAACCCTCCTGCAGGGCTTCCCCATCCTCAAGGATCCTGCACCTGCCTGGGGCTTTGCAGAGGTGATGATGAGGTTACCCAAAGGCCCAGGCAGGGGCCACTGGAGGGACAGCCACCCCTGGGTCTGTTCTCTGTGACCTCTAAGTTTCCTTTCCCTCCCTGGGCCTCGATCTGCAGTTCTGTAAGATGAAAAGGCTGGAGAGAGTCTCTGGGCATCCCCCCTCCAGCCCTGGCTCCCGGGAGTTCCGCCCAGCCCCCACCCGCAGATATCAATGGGATCCCACCACTGGCTGCACACCACGTGCCCGGTGCTGTGGAAACTGGCCGGGGAGGGGACTGACTGAGCCAGGTGGAGTGGAGTCACCTCCCCTGGACAGGTGTGCGAAGAGTGTGCTCGAATCCCTCCTAGGGGCATTCTTCTGTGTGTGCTAGGTGCAGGGCTGGTTTTGGTTTCGAACAGCTGCTTGTTTACCAGTAGGATCATGGCCCTCTGTGCTCAGTCTGTCTGGGAGGACCTAGGAGTGGAGGGGTGGGTGGTGTGACTTGATAAAGCCTGCTTGCCGTGGACTTAGTTCAATTTATCCAAAGGCCAGATGGCGTGACTAGGCTGTGAACACACTGATAGCAGGTGAGCAAACATGGAGTTTCAACCTAGCATTGAGAACGAAGAAAATGGGACAGCTTTCCGGGGGAGTCCCTGGCAATCCACACTCCCAGTCACCTCTCTTTTAGTTCAGCCCTTCTCTCCTGTAGTGGAGTGGGAGAGCAACATGATTAGTAGAGACATAGAAGAGGATGCTGGAGTCAGATTTTTCCTTTTCTGAAACTAACTTCATAGTTTCCAAAAGAACCAGCTTCCAAGGCTACTCAGAATTATACATGAGCTTCAGGATTTATTTCAATACTTTCAAAGAATTTATAGCAATAATTGGGGGCGAGGGCAGGAGGAGAATAGCAGTGTTACTCTTCTTGGACGGTCATTGGCAAAAAGTAATTGTTGCTTCCCACCTCCTGCAAAGAAGAGAGGGGTATTTTTTTCTCGGAACTCAGCCAGTGTGATGGAGGTGGATGACATTGTCCAATTCTTTCCCAGCCTCAGTGGTACTGACCTTAGGGCAAAGCCCCCGGTCAAAGAACTGACTCAGCAGTTAGGACACCTTCCTTCTCTCCTTTCTAGAGTGAGCCTGTCCTTTCAACTTGTGTCTCCCTTGGACAAAGGCTCTTCAGAAGAGGCAGCAACAGTTCATTCATTTGTCCATTCAATCATTCATTCATTCCACACTCATTTATTGAGATCCCACTGTACTGAGGCACTACCAGCTGCTTAAAAATTAGACACTGAGAGTAGAGTCATCAATAAGACAGGGCCCTTGTCTTCAAAGAGTTTGCAGTCCAGTAGGAAGAATAAGACAAAGATAGGAGGGGCACTGGCTACATAAATAAACATACCAGTCAATTTATCTCCTCCGACAACCAATTTTAATAACAACTGACCTTTATAAAGCTTTACAATTTTCAAAGTACACTATGTGATTACCTGATTTGAACCTCACAGCTTGTAAGGTAGGTATAACAGGTATCATCCTGATTTTCAGATGAGGAAACTGAGTCTCAGAAAAGTAAAGTTATTTGCCTATTATCACACAGCTAGTGTTGGGGGGGAAGAGGGTAGATTTGAACCTAGTCTTCCTGATTCCCCAGTGGAACGTGCTACTCACTAGGCTGGGTTACCTCTCTTCCAGCTACCCAGATCTTTCATGCTTTAATAGCCAGTTTTTGCATCATAAATTCCTTTACATCACTTTAAAAAATAAACCAATTTTTAAATAAATTCCTTTAAACCTATTTATAAATTGGAGGTTCTCTTTAAGGAATGAGGACTGTGGACAGTAGTTGCTGAGCTCTCAGGACACAATTTGGAGCAGAACAGCCAAAATTTTGTTTGGTGAACTGCTTAGGCAGCTTCTGTGGCTTAACAGAAACCACAGTCTCAAATAGGTTGACTGCTTCCAGCTCAGAATAAGCAAGGCACTCTCAAGGAGTTCTGTTGCAGAGCTAGTAATCTCCTGAAGTACGAAGCACCGGATTTATGATTCTATTTTTCACCAACTGTGTTGTGTTTGCGGGATAAGAAGGAAAACATTGTTGGGAAATGTATGATGGATTTATTTGTAGGTAGGCTGAAGTTCTGGTCAGTTATATTTGGTGGGGAGGAGAGAGTGGGAAAAAAACCCAACAACTTGTAACTGCAGAATAATTTATTCTTCTTAACATTAGAGCAACCCAAAATGTAAATTAAAAAATAAGTCCATAGTTGGGAAGCTCAAATGAAATGGAATGAAAACATTCCCCAAAAGTGTCTGAGAGAATCAAAGGAATAAAACCTAAAAACTGATTAGGAGGGAAAGACCATAAGTAACTAAGTGTGGGGAAACAGTAGGAGTGTTTTTAGGTATTTTCATGTCTTTAATTGAATTTACATTAGGATTCATGGTGGACCTCACTTCATTAGAAAGGTGGGGGACTATGGGTATGGAATGTTATATACTAAGTTGCTATGTTGGTTAGTTTGACTGAACTGCCTTGTCATTCTCCATCTCTTATTTTTTGTTACAAAGGATGGCATAGGTTTAGGGGATGGATATATTCAGAAATGAAGGTGATTAAAAACAAAATATAGCAATGCAAATTAATTTTTAAAAGGATTCATAATGTTACTGAACACAGACTATATACTAACAGGTTATGATGTTAATGGCTACACAGTGTATGCCATACACTGAAAGGATTTGTTGGGAGAGAGAAATGAGAAAGAAAATTCTGCTGGAGTCAGTCTGTGAAGACAGACAAAAAGGAAAATGGCATTGGAACTAAACCTTGGCCAGCCATCAGAGAGCACATGTAAAGGGATTCCTGTTCTGTACAGTTGGATATTTAGAGAAGCTCTCATGTCCCTTCTCATTCAGGAGACTGTCTTTTACTGTAATCATAAGGCATCTCCATAGTGTATATATTTGTGTTTCAATGACTCTTCTCTGCTGCCTTTTTCAAATTCAGAATTTCTTCCCTTTTGTTTCTTTTTAAGGAAAAGAAACAATAGTTTGTTTTTATATGTTGTGTGTTCCTCACGAGAAACCTGTGAGGTTGCTGGCATGTAGCTAAGTGTGGCAATGAATAGAGCGCCCAGCCTGGAGTCAGGAAGATTTATCTTCCTGATTTCAAATCTGACCTCAGACGTACACTAGCTATGTGACCTTGGGCAAGTAACTTAACCCTATTTGCCTTACTCACCTCATCTGTAAAATGAGCTGCAGAAGGAAATTGTAAACCACTCCACTACCTTTGCCAAGAAAACCCCAAATGGTATCACAAAGAGTCTGACATGCTGAAAAATGACTGAACAAGGGTGGTATAAGTGTGATTATATTCGCTTTAAAGGTGAGGAAACAGGCCCAGAGACTTGATCAGAGTCACATAGACAGTACATGTCAAAGCTGAGAGAGCGCAGGTCTTCTGAGTTCAAGTCCAACCCTCTTTGCTTTAATATAGATCACACTGACAATTTAATGACTAGGGTTGGTCATTGCCCCACATTCTTGCTTTTAAGTGACTCATATGAGGAATATGTACCATGTTCTTAGAAGAGAGTAGGAACAGCTACTTTAGCTGAGTACCCATGGAGATCCCACTGAAGGAGTGGCTTTTAAACAAACAGTGCGAGAAGGGTGGGCCTCACCAGCATTCTGCCCAGGGGCTGATGGATATAGACACAAGCTACATCCAAGCTGTGTCCATGAAAGAGCATAACTTGGTTGATGGAAGGGGCGTGAAAGTGGAAAACTTTTCTGAACTCACCTAACTATATTCAAATAAAATTTTGATTCACTGGAACCATAGTCTTCAATTAATTTGGTTGTTTCCTCCCTTCTTTTAGTTATAAAGTCATTGGAGTGTCTACTTTCCAATATAGGTTTGCACAAATTACCATATGTCATCAGCACTTGTTCAAAACTGTAGTTCACAAACCCCAGCAAATATCTGTATTTTTAAATGAAGCCATTAGGATGCATTATTTTTTTTTCTTGGCAAGGCAATCAGAGTGAAGTGACTTGCCTAGGGTCATACAGCCAGTGTCAAGTGTCTGAGACCTATTTTCCCTTTTGTCAGTCTACATACACACAGACTGGCCCCAGTAGAATTTTCTGTCTTGAGGACTCAGGTCCTCCTGACTCCAGGGCAGATGTTCTATCCATTTCATCCCCCAGCTGCCCCAGGATACATTTGAAAGAATGCGAAAGATATTTGATCAACAGCACAGCAAAAAAAGATCTCTCCATGCTCACTTGAACACTCTCTTCCACAGGCTTATATATCACCTATGAGAGGAGGGCGTACACAGAGGGAATAGTGTTATGAGGCATCCGTGTGCCTAGAACCCATGTGACCTGGCCATTCACACCTGTAGTGCTGAAGAGTTGATGATATCCTTTGGGAAGATCATTACACTGTGGTCATTCCTCAGGCGCTCATGTCCCTGTTCTCTACTGAGAGTCTTTTATGGTGTCTTAGTTGCTGAGTTGCTCTCTGTTACTATCTTTGGACTCTGCTCCCCTTTGCTAAGATGCCGTGATTAGAAAACCTCTCCCTGACAAGGACAGGCAGGCAGCTCTTTTACTTCATTCTTAAGCCTGTGTATGAACCCCCACATTTATCTTCATCCTGGGAAGCCAACAAAAGCCAGTGGCAGTACCTCCAGGCCAAGCATACTTGTTCTTTTGATTGCTTATTTCTGGTCCTGAAATTTCTGCACCTATCTGGGGCAGACAACTATCTGATATGCGATTAGAAAATTCCTCATAATTTCAGTTTAATCCCTGATGGGAATCATATGTCCTCAAGACCTATTCTAGGAATTCTACCAAGAAAAAAACAATCCAGAGGGCTGTATGGAGGCTGAGGCCACAGTGCCTCCCTCCATCCCAGCATCTTCCCAGACTGGCATGCAAATGAATAGAGCAAAGACAAAAAGCCAAGAGGAGTGGATGAAGTTACTCCCTTCCATCTTCCTATCCTTCCTGTCTGGGATGCGTGTGTGGGTGTGTGTGTGTGTGTGTGTGTAGAGAGTATATGTGTGTATATAAACATGTATATACATATCCATATAAGTTTAAAAATAAATACATAAAAATAAATATGATATATATGTTTACATGTATATAGTGAAAATTTTTTCTTAGTAATCATTATCTTGGAAACTCACAGCTTCCCCATCCCCCTTTCTTTTTTAAAGTTCAGTCCTTCTTCAGAAGGATATTAAGATGTATTCTAAATGGGTCTATTCTTGCTCATTATGTTACCAGGTCTGGGAGAATGTTGATTCCTCCCAATTGTCAAGACAGGTGATATGGAAATTGATGTCTCTTCGACCAGGATTAAGTGACCTGGGTCACATACTGAAGAACTCTCATTTTAATATAGCCTGCCTCCCAGAGCTGATTGGCATCCCTTGGGAACACCTACTCTTCTAAGGGCATATAAGGCTGTACCCCAAAACTCCCAAATTGAGCCAGTTCTGAAGTGACCCCTTTAGGGGACCTAGTTTTGTACTGAACTCCCATGTCAAGCCAGCTTGAGAGAAATTAAACTGTGACCACACACACCCTGATTTCGTGGGTTTGTGGATTTTGGGGGAGAGGGGTTCACAATAAACACATTATATAAATAATCTTCTTTGTTGTTGTTGTTGATTCTTGGAACAAACAAAAAAGCTCCTGGCTTTTGTTGTATTCTGTATTGTCACTGTATCCCTACTAGAGAAAGACAAAGTATGATGTAATAGAAAGTAGCCTTAGACTGGAAGTCTGGGAACCTGGGTTCTGGTCGTGACTGCCACAGACTAGTTTTGCGATGTCAATGAGCCTCTAAGATAGAGTTTCTTCAAGTCAAGAAGCATTTATTAAGCACCCTCCATGTTCCAGGCACTGGGCTAAGTTCCTGGAATCCAAAGGACAGGAAAAGACAGTCGCTACTCTCAGGGAGTTCACAGACTAAAGGAGGAGACACCTTGCTAACGACTATGTGTAAACAAGGTATTTACAGAATTGATTGGCTGTAATCTTAAAGAGAAGGCACTGATATTAAGGGAGATAGGGAAAGGATTGTTCTAGAAGGTGGCGTTTTATGGGGGACTTGAAGGAAGCAAAGGAAACCAGAGGCAGAATTGAGGAGAGAAAATGTCAGGCACTAGGAAACCGTGAGAGAAAATGCCCAGGGCCAAGGGAGCGTCTTGTTTGCAGAGGCCAGTGACACTGACCACAGTGATCTTGGAGCACATGGGGATGTGGGAGTGGAGAGCTCTAAGAAGGTTGGAAAGGTAGGAGGCCATGGTATAAAGGGTTTTAAAGCTGGAATATTTTTTTAATCCTGGAAATGATAGGCAGCTGCTAGAGTTTACTGAACATGGTCAGACCTGTGCTAGTCCCATGGGTGGTTAGCCTGGACAGTCTTTATGGTTCCTCTAGGCTTTAACTTTCTAAGATTCAAACAACAAGAAAAGGTTATTAGCTATTTTTTAAAAAAATATAAATGTAATTAATCAATAATAAAATAATTAATCAAATAAAAATTTAAATTTTAAATTTAAAGTTAATCTTAGGGTAGGTATGAGAGCATTGGACTTAGAATCACAAAGACCTGAATTTGGATCTTTTTTTTTTTCACTGTCACTTTCTGATTGTGTGATCCTGGAAAAATCATTATCCTCTTTTAGCCTCAGTTCCTTCATGGGAATAATAACTAATAACTATCTCTATCACATAGAGTTGTTAGGAGGATCATGTGAGGATATAAAATACTTCATTATCCTGTGAACACTAGATGAACGTGTCCTATTACTAACATTACTTAAGAACTTAGTCTCCTTCACCTTTTATATTCCTTCACCTTTTATATTCCAGTCGTGGATTGTCAAGAAGTAATGTTTAAGATTAAGGTCCCGATGCCCTACAAAATCTTCAGACTGAAAAGAAACAGTCTATTTTGTTCATTGTATTCTGCTTACTAAAACAGGAAAGGGAAGTTAAATGTTTTAGAAAGGGTTGTGTTTTTTTTTAATAGGTGTTTAAATAAAAATTTTGGATGTAAAACTTGTTACCCAGAAAATTGTTGATGAGAAGTCCCCCTTTCCAGAATTTTCTTCTAAACTGAAGTTTGAATGTTCTTCACTTCTTCTGTAAGAAAAAGAGATCATGTTAATGTTTTTTGACCCGTAGAATTCATATCTCAGTAATTCATTACTTCCCTGTTGTTCCTGTTAGAGACTCGAAGGGGCAGGAAGATTTGACTTTGAAGTTGGCGAGAATAGACCACAGGAACTGAGTCTTTTATCAGAGGAACAATACTGGCCTTCTTTAAGTACTTTCACTACTAGGGCAAAGTGCAAATGTGTTTCCAGCTGGGCACTTGCTACTGGGTAAAAAGTCAGACAGTTCCAAGTCTTGTATCATGACTTGGCATTAAGATCTGTCTTTCATATATAGTGTACACATCTAGGGAGTCCCATGTGGAAGTCAGATTGAATCTGGAATATGGTGGGTTTCTGGGGTACCATTTTTTAAAGTTTATTTTTTTCCATTAACAAACATTTTCTCTCATTCATTTCTCCCTCTCCTACCCCATTAAAAGATTAAAAAAAAAACCAAACCCTTGTGACAAATATGAATAGTCAATCAAAACAAATCTCCATATTGACTATGTCCAAAAAAATGATATATGTCTCATCCCTTGTGTTTTGGAATTATGGTTGATTGTTACATTGATCAGAATTCCAAAGTCTTTTGAATTTGTTTAACTTTGCAGTATTATTGTTGTCACATAAATTGTTCACCTGATTTTACTCACTTCACTCTATATCACTTCCTACAAGTTCTCTAAAGTTTCCCTGAAACCATTCCTTTTGTCATTTCATATGACATAATAATATTCCATTACCATAAGAGACAAGGAAAAATGAAAAGGAACCATATGTACAAAAATATTTATAGCAACTCTTTTTGTAGTAGCAAAGAATTGGAAATTGAGTGCATACCCAACAACTGAGGAATGGATGAACAAACTTTAGTATAGGAATGTAGTGGGTGGCCACTACATTTTTAGAAGGGTTAGGGTTGATAAGCTGTAGCACATCCAAAAGAGGGCAAACAGGGTGATAGAGGGCCTTGAGTTCATGCTGTACGGTCATCCATTAAAGGAACTGGGCATGTCTAACCTGGCAAAAAGAAGACTTAGTGGAATAAATGGTAATTGTCTTCCAATTTTATAAAGCAATCGTGCAGAGCAAAGAATTGTTCTACTTGGGCAGAACTAGGACCAGTGGGTGGAAATAGTAAAGGATCATAAATTTAGAGCTAGGGTGGGGAGGGGACTTTCTAAGCCAACCTTATTTTATGGATGAGGAAACCAAAGCCCAGAAAAGTCCAATGTATTGCCCAAAGTCGCAGAAGTAATATGTGGCAAAGCTGGAATTGGAACTCAGATCTTCTAACTCCAAATTCTGCATTTCTTCCACTGCCCCATGCAGCCTCCCAAGGTTAAGTGACTTGTCCAAGGTCACACCATACCAGTAGGCAGTAGGACTAAGGCTCAGGACTTCTGATTGTCTCTGTATCCAGGATTTTACCTTTTCCACCTTTCCTTTCTTTCTTCAAAACTTCCCTGAAAACACCTGGCTGAAAGACCAGTATCTGTTTACTAAAAATGTATGCTTATTTTGGTGAAACCCATTTGCTTCTTTTTGGTAGGAAAGCTGGGAAATGAGTTATTTTTTTTTAAATACTCAGAAACTACAGTTGGAAGAATAGAGAACACACTGAGGCAGAAGAAAGATTGCTTACCCAGGATAGGAGGCTGCCTGGTATGGCCCAGGTGGCATGAATGGCACCAAGCCCAAGTGAGTGTGCACTTTTTCTCTTTTTAGGAAGAGAGCTCACTCGTCTTTTTTCCTCAGAGAGAACTGAAGACCTTTTATCCTCCCTCCAGAAACCATAGGTCCTTATTCTTAGAGATGTCCTTGATCCTTCATTCTTATAAAATATTAACATTTTTGTTGCCCACAACCAGATCGTACACCAAATGGAGAGGCATGAAATAAACTTGAGACATGGGCCAGGCGGAGCAGCAGAACTGACTCAGCTAGAGAAAATCTAGCCTAACTTCAAAGAGTCCTCCCCGTGAGATACTCCCCAAAACATCTGCTGAGGACGTGACAACATACATTTCCTCGTTATCAGGGTTCCTAGATTGGGTTGTATTTTCCAAGGTTTTCCCAGGCGCCTTGGCGCCACCTGCATAGAGGAGTGAATGTATAAATCTAAGGTTCAAAGAGTGAGAAGGAAAGTCTCAGCAACCTCCTAACAGGGAGAGATTGGAGAGCCATACCTCTTAATCATTAAGCCCTTTCGGGTAAAAGCCTGGGCAGAGGTCAAACTCTGCCTTGGATCTTAAACCCTTATCAGACTCTTAAGATTGTCCCTCAACACATTTTAAAAAATGGCAGTGTATACATGTGTGTTTTTATATGTATGTATATATGTATTTACCTATTTACCCATTCATTCCTTTATTCATTCATTTATTTATTTTCTCCTCTAAAGCAATATCCAGAGCCAGGAAATTCCCACGCCCAGGCATTTGGTTCAATGATTTTGTGATCAATCACAAATTTGCTGGTTAGTGACCAAGCCCAGCTGTTGGCTCCAATGGCTGGCTGCCCATGCACAATGACTGCCCTCGTCATATGGTAGGGGCTTCTTGCAATGCTCTGGAGCCCCATCAGGGATTAAGGAAGCAGGAACTCTTTTTATCAAAGGCTTTCTCCATAAGAATTCTTTTGGTGTCACTGAGGGATTATTGTTTTGATGCTACAAGGGATTCATGATCTTTTTGGTGTGACTACTCTCTTCACTGATGCAAATTACAAACCATGCCTTGTGTTTTCATGTTTGATTCCCTTCAGAAATCATCAGCCAGGGATCTACCCCAAAACTTCTTGACCTCATTCTATGACCCTGCATCTCTCCTGTCTTTCCTGGCTAAATTCCTAGAAAAAAGTAAGATACTCTTGTTGCCCTTCTACTTTGCATCCCTTTATATTCAGGCTTCTAATCTTATCATTCAACTTAAATTGTTCTCTCCAAAGTTATCAATTATATATAAAATATATGTGTATATGTATATAAAATCTTATTCATCAAACATGGTAGCCTCCTCATCCTTCTTGACTTCTGTAGCATTTGGCATTGTTGACTTCTCTCTTCTCTATGGGCTTGTATGCCATTGCCATTTCTTGCTTCTTCTACCTATATGATTGTTCCTTGTCAATCCCCTTTGCTGTGTCATCATCCATATCTGGCACCATAACTATAGGTATACCTCAAGCCCCCCAGCGTCTCTTTTCTCTACATACTCTTTCATTTGGCATCTCCATCAGGTCCCATGGGTCTTATTATCAGCTCTGTGCAGATGACTGCCATGTCTATTTATCTAGCCCTAAGTACTCTACTGAGTTTCCAGCTCACATCATCAAATGGGATGTTCTGTGGGCTTCTCAAATTCAGCATGTCCAAAACAGAAGTCATGCTTTTTCCCCCCAAACCTGCCACTCTTCTGAAATTCCCTATTTCTGTCAAAGGTATCACCTTCCATGTAGCCATGCAGGTTTGTGACCTTGAAGTTATCCTCACTTTCGCTCAACCCACATAGCCAACTTAGGGGCAAATCTTATCAATTCTGCCTCCATGATATCTCCTGTCTCCCCTATACTGGAACACTAGGCCACCCCTAATTCAGGCTCTCATCGTTTCTTATCTGAACAATTGTAATAGCCTCCTAATTGGTCTGTCTCAAATCTGTCCTCCACCCAGACTGCCGCCAAAGTGATTTTCCTTGATTAAGGACAGATCTAACCACATCACTCCTGTTCAATCCATATTGTCTCTCTCTTGTCTCTAGGACCAAGTACAAATTTTTCCTTTAAAGTCCTTCACAAGCTGGTTCTTGCCACACTTTCGTGATTTATTATGTATTGCTCTGCTCTGTGCCAGACTCAGTGGTCCAGCCAATCTGACCTTCCTGCTGTTTTTTTCATACAATACTCTCTCCCATCTCTGTGCCTTTGCTCTGGCTGCTCCCCCAGATGGCTCTTCACCCTTATCTCTTAGAATGCCTGGAGGCAGGGGAATTGGGAAGCAGGGTGAGTCATAGGACCTAGGGTCAGGATTTCTATCTGATCCAACAAACTGACTTGAAAAAATATAATAGCAGCAATAACTTTGTTTGACCCTTTGATTATTAATAGAAGTGAAGCAGGGAACCGATGTTCACCAAAGGCATTTGCTGCTCTCATGAAAAGTGTCTCCCAGGTGTTTTTGCTTGTACTGATAGCATTGAGTCACATCTTATTGTAGTGACTTTTAAAGGAGATCTATAATCTCTCAAAAGAATTTCAGTGCCTCTGTCCTTGAGGAGTTTACAGTCTATTCAGGCGAGAAACAATATATACTTGTAGAGGGATAGATAAAAGGTGAGAAGGAAGGAAGACTTTAGCAGGAGAAGAGAGGGTATTTGGAAAAGGCTTTATGTAGTAGGTGGCACTTAAGTCAGTCCTTGAAGGAAACACCTCCCCACCAAGACATCAGAGTAGAACTTTGGGGAGAGGGGCTGTAGAGAAGGATTATTGAAATGGGTTTTATGTTCGATTGAAATGGGAAATTTAAGGAATAGGGCCTCTGTTAATCCTTTGAGCTTCTCAGGGGAAAGATGCTATATAAATGCAAAATAACAATACAACCAATCTTTTCATGAAATTATAATCACATAAGGATGAGAAAATGGAATGACTGTAAACAGACTTTTATAGGTAGAGACCGAGGAATTGTGGATCCAGACAAATGGCACTTAACAGAAATGGTTATTTTACAATATGGTTTGGGTTTGAAAAGTTGTTTTGCATTGTACATAGTAACAGCAATATTGTTCAGTGAAGAACTGTGAATGACTTAGCTATTTTCAGCAATACAATGATCCAAGACAATCCCAAAGGACTAATGATGAAGCATGCTTTTTTTCACTTTTATTTTTTTTCTTTTATTCAAGTCTTCTTGTACAAAATGAACAATATGGAAATGTTTTACATAATTGCATGTGTATAACCTATGTCTGATTGCTTAACCTCTCCCTGAGAGGGGAGTTAGGAAGGAAGGGATAGAATTTGGAACTCAAAACTTTAAATAAAAATGTTTTTAAATTTTTTTTAAACTAGTAAAGCCTGAAAAAAAAAAAAGAAAAAGAAAAGTCATTTTGAGAATCTCAGATGGGGGGAAGGTGCTAGTAGAGAGGATTTATTTTCAAGTGGAGTTACCTCTTCTTTCCTCTCAAGTCTGTACTTTTAAGTCTGTCTTCGTTCAGTCTTACTAACAACTCTTTTCCAGATGGAGAGAACAGCCAACGGGAATGGAGACAAAAATCTCCCCAGATCTGCATTCATTTCCTTAGCTTGGAGCTCTGGTTATTCATAGCAAATGGAGAGCTTTCTCTAGGGGTTTGGGAAGTTCTCCAAAAGGAATTTAAGTATGACTCTTCTGTATTTTTCTTTTTTTGGTCAATGAGGACTGTGGCTCAGTAACTCTCTTCACTTCTTGAGGTGTCATGTTTTTCAAATACCTCCTCTTCAAAACAAGGTTACTATCTTTCTCCCTAAACCTGTTCTGTTTTCTGACCCTTTTCTCTTTGTAACACCACTGGTCTCTCATATTTAAAATGATATAATCTTAAATTGCTTTTTCCCCCTTTACCTCCATCATTAAGTAGTTATAAAATCCTGTGAATTTTCTATATACCAAATATCTCTCAGACCTTCCCCGTTTCAATCTGTTCCCATTAATGCCATCCCAAACACTCATTACCAGCTTCCAGAACAAGTATAAAAGTTTCCTAAAAGGCCTTTCTTTCTTCTTTCTGACCCTTCCAATATAGCCTTCATAACCCTTCTGGACTGGTTGGTGGTTGTCCTTTGTGCTCAAAATGATATCACTATGTTGGGTCAAGGTACAGTGTGTTGGATTGTGGCTGATCAAACCATTACAAGCTTGGAAGGCTCTACTCCAGGTCAGCACAAATAGTCCATGTGAATATTTAGAGGGGAGATGTCTCTAAATTTGTGCATCTCACGTTTCTTTTGAGCTCCTGTAATTTGGCTTTGCCCATAGAGCACAGCACCTCCTTTGATGCAGACACACTGCCCTAGGTGGATCCTGCTGGACTGTGTATTTTATAAATAGATGTGCACATGTCATTCCTCTGCTCAAAAATCTTCAGTGACACCCTATTATCTATCAAGTACAAGCTCCTTCCCTGGCATTCAAAACCTTTCCTCACCACAAAAACTTTCCAGCCTATGTCAAATTAGTCCCTACCAATTACTCCATCCTCTAGCCAGACAAGACTATTCTGTGTCCCTCCAACATCCCCTAAACTTTCCTGCTTCCAAGCCTTTGTCCAAATTGGTCCCCCTACTTGGAATGCCCTTTCCCCTCTCTCTTTGCCTGCTAATTGCTTACCCAATCTTCAACAACCCCCTAAAAATGCTATATCTTTCATTATATCTTCCTTGACATCCCCATGTCAGTAGTGATCTTTTCTTCCTTGAACCTTATATAACACTTTGTTTTGCAGCTCTCTAATGCACGTACGTCATGTATTATTTTGTATTGCAGTTTGTTCTATATTCATATATGTTATGTATGTATATATGTATGTGTATAATGTTTTGCAAAACTCAGTACTATATAAATGCCAGCTTTTATCATTGTTTTGGTTGATGTTATTATTTATTTCATTCTTCTCATCTTTTTCAATGTACTTCAGGTAGAAATGGTCCTGGAAATAGTCATTATCCTGCTATTATCCTTTTAGAGCTAATAATGTGTGGACTATTGCATAGATAGATAAAAATAACTGCTTTTTGTAACTGAATAAAAGCATTAGGATAAAAGCTTATCTTCTCTAGACTCACAAAGCTTTTTCAGGACAAATCTAGTAGCAGATGGGACAATAGGGATGAGAAATACCTGTTCCCTCTTGATTTTGATATTTTCTGACT